TTCCCTACCTATCCCTGCTCTGCTTCCCAGGCCAGAATTAATTCTCTCAGTCTTTGGGGTGTCATCTATCAATCACCATTCATACAAAGGGACAAAGGCCTCACAGTGAAAGTGGCCCTGGAGGTTACAGAAAGTACATTTCTGACATTATCGTGACAGTGCAGCGTTTTTCAGTCACTGAATTCAGGCTTGGCTTATGTTTAGACTAGTCCACAGGTCACTTATTTTTTTAAAAAATATGCAAGACATAAGTGTGCTCATCTTCATCCTTAGCTGCAAACTTTTTTTTTTCCTGTGAGTTTGAAGAGGAAAAACAAAAAAGGCAATGAGATCAATGACCATGTTTCAGCACAGCTGCACCTTCATTTCAAATTCAGGTGACTATTTTTGTGGTCCTTAAACACTTCCAGATTCTTGTTCCAAAGAAGGTCCCTTCCAGCCCTAATGTCTATGAAAGCTATGAAAGAATAACAAGGTTCCTGTTCTTGAAAGCAAGCGTTTTCAAGCAGAAATACTTTACCTGCTCAATAATTTGTCTCACAGTGTTCAAACGCACCACTCCAGTGGACTTCTCTGAACCTGCATCTTTAGGTTCTGTCTCTGTAATAACATGTTTTTGTTAATTATGAAATGAAGGTTGGGGGAGTAGAGAGAAAAAGCCACATTAAAAAAAATTAATGAAGGGCTTACTGGCAGTTTGATACAGATGAGGTAAGTCAGTTGACAGCTTCTCCATTGCTACGTCTGCAATGGGGCCAAATATCACTACAGGTCTCTTAAAGCCAGCTGAAAGATAAATATTTAGAGGGAAAAGGCTTTAAATATAAAATCATCATGGCAATAAATATTGAAGCAAAAATATATGAGGTTCAGTTTAATATTTATGAGTGAATATCCTCAAACTCTACTCTCTCTCCATTCCTAATGATTCATGTAAGAACCTTTGTAAAGAATAAGTCTTCTATGTGTTTTACAAATAAGAAAAAGCTGAGAATTTTTTAATTAAAGAAAAAGGGGTAAGACAGTATAGATGATCTTCCACATTCTCCATAACCATTCTATGGCTGAGAAAATTACCATTTGAGTATATACAGCATCACTTTAGTAGTCTATCCATCAGTGAGCTACAAAACCACGCTAAACTCAGCAGGATGCACGCGAGTAAAATTACATACATGCTTAAGTGTGGGCAGAAGCACAGCAGCTTACAAGGGCAAACAGCGGAGAACTGCAAGATCTATTATTATTTTATAGCTAATGCAAAGATTGTCATGGCCCTTGTATACCAATGGCAGGGGAATTTGTCATTGATAGTTCCTGAATGCTAGGGTCAAGACTTCTCTGGAAGTGTTTTTATCATCTGATTTCCTTTTAATACAGTGGAGCAAACACAACACGGACGAATTAACTGACAACTATCGTGACATGTTCAATATCAGCAGAATTAGAGCCAAGTTGCTACTGCAATCGCAGTGATAAAGTCTATCTTTGGTTAAATCTACACACTTCTATGAAAGGCAACAGATTTTCATTTGCCCTGGAGAATCTCAGCACATTATATAAATGAGCCAGAAAAAAAATGTAGCTTGATTTTTTATATCCTAGGTTGTCTATCAGACTAGCCACTAGGTACAGAAGACAAAGAAAAGCTAAAATAAAATCTAGAAAAAAAAAACAAAAAAGAAACCAACAAATGCAAACAAACCAACCCATCCAATTAAAAAAAAAATATCCAAACAAAACCCCCCAAAAAACCAAAAATCAAATCCAAACCATCTTTCTGCTAGCAAGATTGGCAAACTTGATTTGGAAGTGCTTCTCCCCTGCACGCATGAAACTCCACACAGCAACTTTTATAGTCATTGTTTTTACCAGAGAATAGCTGCACTTCGAAGTTAACATCTTAACTCAGATGATTCTACCATTTTCAGTTATACTTCAAATTTAGCCTGGAGTCCAAGGTGACTAGCAGCTAGCCTGCAGCACCTAGCTATACAAATGCTATCTGCTCTGTAAAAGTCTCACTCACCTTCTCGCAGATGAACTCGCTCGTAGGCTGGGAATTTTGTGCTAACAGATGCAATAACAGTCAAATCTTCACGACTTTTCCTCAGATTCTTTTTCATTCCAGATCTCTGCCCGCGCATTCTCCAGAAATCTGCCCTATCACTTGAGCCATCCCTTTGGGCATTTTGAACAGTGGCCATCTGGTCAGCTCTGAAAGAAAAAGCAGAGAATCCATTTGCAGATGGGAAATCACTCAGAGTGGGGAGAGTTGGGGGAGGAAATACCCCATGGTTCACACAAGAACTTCAGCAGACTCTGATGTAGGAATTTGTATCTGAAATGAAGAACTCAGCAGTGAGGCAACTTGTGGAGGGAGATCCAGGAACTCTTGCCTTGAAGCAAGCAGAATTGAGTCAGAGCACTGCTCTGATGCTAGACCTGCAAGGTTTGTTGTTCAAGAATTAGTCCACAAAAGGGACCTGGCTGCGATGCACTGAAATGCCCAATGCAACATCCATTGGAGAAAGAGGTGGTGCACATGGAGATAAGCAAACCAGAAGAGCAACCCATAATGAACTGAGGGGCAAAGGGCCTAACTACTGCTTCATTCTCCTCTTCATCCCCACTGCCTTAGCTATATAGTGACTTGAAATAAAGATGAGAAATCAGAATCATCAAGAGAAGATTACAGTGCACTGCACAGAATAGAAACATCACCTAAGGTACCATATACATACGCTTCAAGTAATTTTAGGAACTTCTCTATAAGAAAAAAATGAAGGGTCAGGGCTTTTTTGTTATTTATTGTGCTTAAAAAATGGAGTTGTGATCATGTTTAAGGACATGAAAATGAAAATACGCAGCACAATGAAAAGCTCCATATGGGAAGCATGCCAGTTAAAAATCAGCACAGCTGTTTTCATGTATAAACAAGAGAACTTTGTTGTAAGCATGTTATTATTAACTTAGTTTTTGTTAAATGTGATTTTCACCTGGAAGCTGAATCACTATCACTTCTAAAGAAAGGATGGAATAGCCAAAATGTTCAAGATATCAAACTTGGAAAAGGACTGAAATAGACTGTTCCTTAAGAATCTGTAGGATAAAGCTAAAAGTCTTAGAGACCCTTCAGTGACACGTCACCACAGGGCCTGTGCGTTTCATTGTGATATTTCTGTATTAACGGTGCTCGTGTTGTTAAAATATTGTATGGCTCAATTGATCTTATTCTGTGCAGAGAAGGAGAGGTTGAGTAACAGGGATGGCATGCAGAATGAGACAAGGTGTCCGTTTAGCAGCAGTATGTCTGAATGGTTTGTTGACATATCAATAAAGGTGAACTGCTCAACATGCAGAAGGTGTTGAAA